TGACCACCCAGGCCCATATGCGCTGGTCTATTTGGACTTACCACTTGTGTGATTCTGTTATCAACAAAGATTTGTCACCTGCTAGAGCAGTGGTTCTCAAACTTGGCCGCACGTGAGATTCATTTCAAAAGCTTTAGGAAACATAGATGCCTCCGCCGGCTCCCAGGTGATCCTGACGTGCAGAATTGAGAACCAGGCCACCAGCAGGCAGGCCTCTGCCAGGCAGCACCAGGATGGCACACACTCAATGGGTCAGTGTGTAGCCCATGCTTACCACCAAGGAAAGGTCCACTGTGTCTACACAGGGGCCACTGAGGCCCCAGGCCCCACCTAAAGGGCCTGTAACCAGGCTGATGAGGGGGCGGGGGTAGCTCAGACCCCAGTGTGCTGATGGGAGCAGCCTCTCCACCCACGTGGGGGGTGGGTACTGTTCTCAAGGCACTGGAGCGGCCCCTCCCCACACTCACCTAGAGAACCCACCCACCCAGAGGTGCTGCTGGGAAAGAAGCCCGAGGCTGCGGCAGCCTGGAACAAGTCTGCACAGCAGCCACGCCCGTGCCAGAGCCAGCAGCCCTTCCACGTCCACAAGAGGCCAACTCCCCACCTCAAAGTGGCCCCCTCAGGCAAGCCCAAGCCCTGCCTGTCTTTAGTGGCCCTTGGCATTCCCAGGGAATGGCTGGCGAGAGCTGGTAGGACAGCCTAAGGAGACCGCACCACCCGCCTTTCCACACCCCACTCTCTCTCCTCACCCACATGCCTGTGCTCTCGGAGGAGGATCACCCTCAGACAGAAAGCGGGTGCCCACTAGCACTACATACCTCGCAAGCAGCAGCAAGGCCCTCTGGCCTGGAGGCAGCTGGCTACCCCATCTACTCTCACGGCAGAAGCACCTGCTCTAATCCAAGGCCACACCCACCCTCCCTTCCACCCAGATGGGACATTACCACAAAAAACACACAAAAACTGAAGAGTCAGAAGGAGGGGCTCCGAACCCCTTCCCGACTGTCCCAGGCAGTCTCTCAGGATCACTCTCCCCACTCAGTCAGGCCACACCCTCCCAGCAACCCTTCCTGGCAGCCCTCCCCAACAGAGGTGCCCCAGCCCGCCCTTCCCTGGACTGCAGCAGGGCCTGGAGTCAGCTCCTGGCTTTCCCTTCCTTATCAAGCTCGCTGGGGGCCCACACAACCTCTACCCCCACCGGCTTTTCTGGCTTTGCCACTCCCAGCTCAAACTGGGCTCCAGGTGAGCCCACAGTCCCTCTTAGAGCCCTTCCCCAGCCCAGGTCCTTAACTCTTAGGGCAAGGCCCCTCCCAGCAGGAAGCACAGCCTGGCCGTGCCAGGCAGAGTCAAACTGACCCGGCTGGTTCTGGTTCTGAAGCCCCTAACCAGGAGCCAGGATCGTGTTGGGGAGGGGGCTCTCTGCCCTGCCCCTCCCTGCTAAGATCTCAGAGCCCTCCAGACTCCACACCACAGGGATCTGGAGTCAAAGGCATTTACAAAACCTCCAGCCCCAGCCTGAACAGTAGCTTACTTGCAGCCCCAGCAAGTTAACCTCCAAGTCTCATTTCCCATCTATAAGAGAAGACTATGTGGTGCTGAACTGGAAGGATTCCGAGAAAACGCACCAGTGCATCTATCCCCAGCCTTAAGGCCCACCACTTGTTGGTGAGTCTGTGAGTGCCACAGGGTAGAGACCAGCATAATTTAGTCTAGCCACAGGGGCTGCGCCCCGCATTTGTGCTCAAAAACGCTGTTGAGTCAAAAGCTTATGAAAGCCTGACAGGCGCTGGGCACGCAGTGGGCGCTCCCAGGCCAGCTCTTCGAAACACACAGCATCCGCAGGGCCATGCTCCTGTCACTGCTCTCCTGACTGTCTCCGCAGCCACACTCCACACTGGTTGCTGCCCTTCCCAAACTGAACACACTCCCCCGCGAAAACCCTTCTCCTACAGCCCACCTGAACTCAGCAAGGCATCCAGAGCTCTCGTCCAGCCCAGCGCCAGCCCCTCCCTCCGTGCCTCGCAGCCACCATCCCCACACTGCCCTCTGTGCTGCATTTGTCACAGTGCCAGCCCTTATCACCCCATCTTACAATCATTTGTTTGCTTGTCTGTCTTCTCCAGGCTGAGCTCTGGAGGGCAGTGATACGTGAATGTAAACTCAAGTTCTGTTCCCATTTTAGAAATCGGGACACTAAGGCTCAGAGAGTCAATCACTGTCCAAGGTCACACCAAGAGTAAACGGCAGAGCCAGCGTCATGCTCCAGGCTTTCTAAGTCCAGCTCCCCTCTTACTGCCCCGCAGGAATCCCTCCTCAGCCAGGCTCCGAAGGCCGTTGAAAGGTGTCTTCTTCCCAGGAAGCAGGCGCAGCCAGGAAGAACCCCCACCCTCTTAGTGATCAGGGCCCGGGAGCAGTGGCCCTCAGGCCCCGTGGGCAAGGCAAGCAAGTGATGGGGTGGGGCTGACTGCTGCAGGCCAACAGGCCAAGCAAAAGGGCAGAACCACAGGTCCCCTGGGTAAACTGAACTTTATTCCTTCCTCACTCCTCTGACTCTCCAGAACTGCCCAGCCAGCCCTTCTCTGGGGGCTAGCTGCTGATTAAAAGGCACTGGCCCCACCCCCCACCCCCACCCCCAGACCTGACCCTGGCAAACAATAAGGACTCTGGGAAGGCAGCAGGCCTGTCAGCTCAATAATGCAAAACCCTGTTGCTCTGAGTCCACGACAGCTGACTTCAAGTGGATCGGAGGCTGTGCTTATTAACAAAATGAGAAATCTGATCTATGGAGAGAAAACACTACGTGAGGATTAATCCAGGACTGCAGCTTGTGGAGAAGGCTGGGCTGCTGGCCAAGACCAGGGAGTGAGAACAGGATCGTGCCTACCTGTCCCCAGAGCAGGTACGCACAGCAGGACAGAACGCATCACCTCTGCCCCACCTGCGCCTCCTCTTCTCCTTCCAGCAATCTTTTGGGTTTTGCTTTAATTAAAGGCCTGGCTCCCTCGGGCTGCTTCTTCCTCTACGGAGAGCCAGCAACCAGAGGGAGATTTTTCTTTTCAGGAATCGCTCGTAAAAGCAGAGTGACTAATCTACAAGTCCCAACAACTGGCAGGAAAACACTGCAGGGAGAAATTCTGGGCGCACACCAGCACTCGAGTCAAACGGCAAGAGAAGCTGGGCAATAGGTGCTCGGCAACACCCCAAAACTGGCCTGCAGGAAGCCAGGAGCCAAAGGAAAGCAGGCCAACCTGGCAGCTCTGACCCTGAAGGCAGGCAGGCAGTTGGGGAGCCCCTTCCCAACCTTCAGAGTCTACCGCCTGCTCACGAGACCTAGAGATTTCCATAATAAACCCAAGAGCACGGGACTGAAGGTTCACTCGCAGTCCGGGGCCAAAGGACTCAGTTGGGCCCCCAAGTATCACCCTCCCATCCCCCCCTGGGCGCTAAGAGACCTGGAAACCAGCAATCTCACCACACAGCTTTGTCCCTAGAGGCAGGCCAGAGGCCGGCCCATCTGCTTTTTTTCAGGCCACTCCAGCAACCCTGCTCTGCTAAGTGTACACTCCCTCCTTGAGCCAGGGCTACAGACTGGCCACATGGCCTATGGTCCTGAAAATGTCTGCTGAAAGGCCCAGGGAGTCCAGACGCTGGTAGATGGGAATGGAAGGGAAGTAAAGCCAGGAGCCAGGAAGCAACAAATGCTAGCTGCAGAAACGTCCTGGATTTGGGTTCCCAGCTCCATCCCTCCATCCGGGGTCCCTGGAGAACAGCTCCAAGTTCAGCCTAGAAGCCCTGGAGGCCCCTCCACTACCTGCCAGCTCTCCCCCTCCCCCAACCACAAGAGGCACAGCAATCCCCACATCAGTCAACGATCCACCGCAGGATTCCTATGGGCCAGGCTCTGCCCCTCCCCCCCACCACATATGTCAGAGGGGTGGCCTCCCTTCGTTACACCCCTCCTGCTATTGAGGACGGGTGGTGGGGGGGGAAGCCGGGAACCTAGCTTTCCAGATGTGCTTGGCAACTCCTACCAGAAAAGACACTTAGAGGTAGAGGGAATAGGAGAAGACATGGATAAATAACTTCAAAGCCGTTTCAGCCCATCCGGATCAGCACTGGGCTCCCTTCCCCAGGCAGTCCCACGCTGTTCTGGGTGGGGCCGCTGGGAGCATTATCTGGCCTCCTTCCCTCCTCTCCACAGTCACTGCCCCCCAGGGAGAAGCATCTCCGCCTCCCCCCGCCCCCCTACCAGCTAGGCCTGTGCGAATATGAACCATCTTGGTAGATAAACAGAGAGTGACAAGCTGAGGCCCTTCAGCCCCCTCCCTCTGCCAGCCAGTCCCCTCCCCCTGCCAACCGACCCCCCTCCCCCCAACCCATCTCTCTTCCTGCCAAGCGACTGCCTACAGGAGAGGTCTGGGGGCAGGGCAGCGAGCCCACCAGCCTCAGGGCCTGGCCCTCTGGGAGCAGCCCCTCCAGGCCTGCCCCTGCTCAGGCCAGTCTTCCAACGGGGAGGAGGCAAGGGAAAGGGACCGCAGACGGTGCAGGGCCGCAATCCTGGAAATAGCAAAATCCCCCTGCGAGGGGCGGCCGCGGACGCAGTGCTGTTTGCATAATGGGAGCCCGCCCGCCTGTCAGGCAGCGCAGCTCGCCCGACGCTGTTCGGATTAGATTGCTAATGAAAAGGCACAAAGAGCCGGCGCCCGCTCGCCCGCCGACCCCCGCTCCGCAGACTGCGTCCCGGCGCGGCGCGGCCCCGGGAGCTTTGTGCCGGGCCCCTGCCGCCCGCGCCCCACCGGGCACCCGGCCACAAAGCGGCCCGGCCGGGTCGGCTCTGGGGGTCCCGCGTGCGCCCCAGCCCAGCCCAGCGGACGCGCGCGCCCCGCCCACGCGCGCAGCCCCACGTCGGCCGAGCGCGCGCCCGCCCACGCCCCTCTCCCCGGGGGCGCGCCCGCCCGCGGCCCCCGCCCGCGCCCCCTCCGCCTCCTACTACCCCTCACCTCGTGTGCGTCGGCGGCGGCGCTCCGCCCGCCGGCCGGCCGGCCCTGCCGCGGCCCCTCGTCCTCGGCGCCCGGCCCGCGCCGCCCGCGCCCGCCCCGTCCGCCCGCCGCCGGCCCGGCTCGGCTCCCCGCCCAGCGCGCCCCGAGCGCCGCTCACAGCTGCCCGCCCGGCGCCATCTTGGAAGCTTGTGACGTCGGCGCCGCCTGCTCACCCCTGACCCACATCTGAATGGGCGAGCTGCGGGCGGGCCGGCCGGGGCGGGGCCTGGGGGCGGGCCGGGGGCGGGGCGGCCGGCCGAGCGGTCCGAGCGCTGGGCGGGGCGGGCGGGCGCTGGACGGCGCCGGGGGGAGGGGCGCGCGGAAGGAGCCCGAGACCCAGACCGTGGGCGCCCGGCGGGACCCCGACTGTAGGTGCGGGGCCGGGACCGCGATCTCGACTCCAAAACACCCAGACCGCACACAGCCCAGGAAGAGGACTCTGGCCCCCATCAGGCACACGCCCACCTCCCACGCTTAGAGCTGGCCCCCTTTGAGCCTAACCCTGACCCCTCGGAATCCCCCATCAGGGACCCCTAGCAGCCTGCGTCCCACTTCCAGGATCCCTTCGCACCCCCGCGCCGCAACCCCCGCGGGGCCCCAGCGTCAAAGGCGCAGCCCCAGGGTACTGCAGGCGGCGTGGTCTGGGCTCCCGGGGAGGCCTGGGCCGTTTGGGTCCGGAGGAGAAGGGGAGCCCCCTGATCCCAGCGCCCCCTGGGGTCCCGCGCCCGCAGCCGCGCAGGCCTGCCCTACCTGCTCAGAGGGCGCGGAGGTCGCGAGCACGCTGTGCGCAGCCAGCCCCTTCCGGTGACCGCAGCCCCTCGCAGGCCCCTGGGGTCAAGCGACGCGCCTAAGCTGGCCTGTCCGGACCCAGGCTCGTGGCGGTCGTTCACATGGCCTTCGGAGGGGCTGGAGCCGGCCGCGAGCCGGGCCACTTCTCCAGGGAGTTACTTAATGGACTTCTTTCTACTTTGAACAGCAAACAAAGGAATCCCCCACTGTCAAAGTCTGAGAGGAACCCCGATTTGCCGTGCAGGGAAGTTGTGCCCTAGCGTAGTCAAGATGGAAAGCCATTTCAGTAACCCCTCAGGAAGGCTGGTTACGTGACTGTTCTTTCCAAATTAAGTTTAATGTATAAGTTTAATATAATCCTAACGGGACATTTCTTAGATTTAACAAAATTCTAAGTTCACGTGGAAGAATAAATAGCCAAAACCAGGTATCATTTCTCCCCTTGGGAACAAAAAAAGGAATGAGGATGGACTTTCCCTAACAGATAATATATATATTAAAAAGCTGCTGCAGCCAATTCAATGTGGTACAGACCAGGTAACAGAATAGAAAGCTCAGAAACAGATCCTAGAAAAGGTAAGAACATAATAAATGAAAAAGGACATTTCAAACATCAGTGAAGAAGGAAAGGAATATTACACGAATAGAGCTCCACAGAAGACTCACTCTCCGAAGAAACTACTAAAAAATTATCAGTGCTCTACTAACCAAAGACATGCAAATGAAAACTACAAGACGATGGCGGTTTTTGTTTTTATCAAATTACGAATCAGTTTGAAATGATAACCTCTAAACACAGGCAGGGGTCTGGGGGGCAATCACTCTAATATACTGTTGAAAGCATATAAATTTCCTCAAAATTTCTAAATATGAATATGGTAGTATAAGCCAAAAATAAAAATCTTTTAAAATGATCATACCCCCTTGAACCAGTAGTAACTCATCTTCCGGGATTCTTTTCTTTTTCTTCTTTTTTAAAGATTTTATTTTTCCTTTTTCTCCCCAAATCCCCCCCCAGTACATAGTTGTAAATTTTAGTTGTGGGTCCTTCTAGTTGTGGCATGTGGGATACCACCTCAGCATGGCTTGACAAGTGATGCCGTGTCCATGCCCAGGATTCGAACCTGGGCAACCCTGGGCCATGGAAGCCGAGTGCGTGAACTTAACCACTCGGCCACAGGGCCGTCCCCTGGGATTCTTTTCTAAAGAAAATAACCTTATTTGCAGACTGTGTGCTTGATTATCTCTCTAACCAAACAGTCACTTGTGTTTCATGGGTTTTTTTTTTTGAGGAAGATTAGTCCTGAGCTAACTACTGCCAATCCTCCTCTTTTTGCTGAGGAAGACTGGCCCTGAGCTAACATCCTGAGCCCATCTTCCTCTACTTTATACGTGGGACGCCTACCACAGTATGCCTTTTGCCAAGCAGTGCCGTGTCCACACCTGGGATCCGAACCGGCGACCCCCGGAACACCAAGAAGCAGAATGTGTGAATTTAACCACTGTGCCACTGGGCCAGCCCATCACTTGTTTTATTTACATTTGAAAATTAATGTACTATCATATTTTTCAAGTGTCGTAATAATGAAAAAATCATACGTAAACTAAGTGTCTGATAATAAGGGATTGGTTAAACAGCCTACACGATAGAATATTAAGCAATCACTACGAATGGTATTTGTAAGGGCGTTTATGATCTAGAAATGTGCAAAGGATATTAAAAAAGCAAACTACAAATTTGTATGTAGCAGATGTATGCAAGATAACGATCTAAGGGGCAGCAAATGAAGGAGATGCGTCAAAATAATTACAGAGGTTGTCTCGGAGTTGGGATTTTTTTTCATACACATGTCTATTTTAGTGTGTGTTTTACTATAAAAGTAACGTTTCTGATCGGAACAATTCTACCTGTACTAAAATACGTTTTTAAAAAGTTACTAGTTCTCCCCGCTTTCCTACTTCTATCTGTCCTCTGAAGTAACATTAACATGTATCTTGACTTCCTTCTCTGAGATCTTTTTTGAAACTATCAAATAATGTGCTATATAAACAGTAAGTCAGGGGCTGGCCTGGTGGCGCAGTGGTTAAGTCCACACATTCTGCTTCTCAGTGGCCCAGGGTTCACCGGTTCGGATCCCGGGTGCAGACATGGCACCACTTGGCAAAAGCCATGCTGTGACAGGCGTCCCACATATAAAGTAGAGGAAGATGGGCGTGGATGTTAGCTCAGGGCCAGTCTTCCTCAGCAAAAAGAGGAGGATTGGCAGTAGTTAGCTCAGGGCTAATCTTCCTCAAAAAAAAAAAAAAAACCGTAAGTCACTATAGAACTTATGCTACATTTGCTCTTTGTCCCCTGAGAATCTATCATAGACATCTTTCTAGTTCATGTCCATAACTCATCCTTTAATAGCTGACAAAGATTGCAGAGTCTGGGGGTTAAATAAACACTTCCTTTAACTATGGCTAGTTCAGTTTATTTACAGTACTATTAAAAAATTTTTAAAGCCCTAGGGTATATATCTTTGCATACTCCTGCCTTTACTTGTATAGAATAGCTTACTAGAAGTAGAACCTATGGGTCAAATGTTATGTGGGCGTTTTCAATTTTAATGGGTTTGCGAGGATACCTCCCCAAGGTGAGGTAGAAATTCATGTCCTGTGGGTGAGTTATTTTTTCTGCTTCTTTAACTTTGCTGAACATTCCAAGTTTTCTATACTTAGTACATATTCCTTTTAAAATCAGAAAGAAAGAAAGAAAAAAGTCCAAGGGGGAGAAAACAAGGTTTCTGAATCGCGGTGAGCTAGGCTCTCCCCGTCCCTGTCCTGGTCACTAGGCGGCCTTGCACGATCTGCCCGCCTCCAGTGCCCACTCATACGCCTATTTCCTGCCAAGCACTTATACCGTCCAAGCACCGTTACTCTCTGGCTTCTAGTGCAATATTACGTAAAGACTTAAAACTTGGTGGAAAGTTTTGAAATAGTATTGAGTGAAAATAGCAGATTTCAAAATTTTGTTCTCACTGAGAGCAACCCTGTAAAACTATGTTTGGGTGGAAGGTAATACAGAAATATGAAAACCACAAAGCCGTAGGAATAGGAAAACCATCAAGAACTAGGTGTATTTTATGGATTGGAAGAATAAACATAGTTAAAATGTCCATACTACCCGAAGCAATCTACAGAGACAATGCAATCCCAATCAGAATCCCAATGACATTCTTCGTGGAAATAGAACAAAGAATCCTAAAATTCATATGGGGCAACCAAAGCCCCCGATTTACTAAGGCAATCCTGAGAAAAAAGAACAAAGCTGGAGGCATCACAATCCCTGACTTCAAAACATACTACAAAGCCGTAGTGATCAAAATGGTATGGTACCAATACAAAAACACACACAGATCAATGGAACAGAACTGAAAGCCCAGAAATAAAACCACACGTCTACAGACAGCTAATCTTCGACAAAAGTACCAAGAACATACAATGGAGAAAAGACAGTCTCTTCCATAAATGGTGTTGGGAAAACTGGACAGCCACATGCAAAAGAACGAAGGTAGACCATTATCTCACACCATACACAAAAATACACTCAAAATGGATCAAAGACTTGAAATAAGTCCTGAAACCATAAAATTCCTGGAAGATATTATAGGTAGTACACTCTTTGACATCCAGCTGGATCTTTTTGAATACCATGTCTTCTCAGACAAAGGAAACAAAAGAAAAAATAAACAAGTGGGGCTTTGTGAGACTAAAGAGCTTCTGCAAGGCAAAAGAAACTATGATCAAAACAAGGAGACAACCCACCAATTGGGAGAAAATATTTGCAAATCATATATCTGACAAGGGGTTAATCTCCATAGTATATAAGGAACTCACACAACTGAACAATAAAAAACACAAGGGGCCAGCCCGGTGGAGCAGTGGTTAAGTTCGCACGTTCCACTTCGGGGTCCTGGGGTCCGCCAGTTCTGATCCGGTGCGGACATGGCTCTGCTCATCAAGCCATGCTGTGGTAAGCATCCCACATATAAAGTAGAGGAAGATGGGCATGGATGTTAGCTCAGGGCCAGTCTTCCTCGGCAAAAAGAGGAGAATTGGCAGCAGATGTTAGCTTAGGGCTTATCTTCCTCAAAAGAAAAAAAAAAGGACTAGAAGTGTTTTGGGTCCCAACTCCCTCTGGATTTTCTGTGTGTCTAGTACAGGACCTAACATCTCTGATCATCC